TCACATGATGTTTCAGAAATCATTCTAATATGATGATTCTCTGCTCAAGAAACGCTTCTTATTATCATAAATGTTGAAAACAGTTGTTCTGCGCAATATTTTGGTTGAAACCGTGATAAAAAACAGGATTTTTTTCAATGTATAGAAAGTTAAACCTTTATTTGAAATAGAAATCTTTTGTAACATTAGGCTATAATAACAACACGAATAATAGATAATGACATTATTTCTTTTCGAACTCGAAGCCACGCGGTACTGTTTCTAAAGGGTGAATTTAGCATGATATTACGATCATAAAGCTAGTAACGTAATTAAGTCTCGAGACCGGTCTCCACGGTCTTGACGGTCTTTGGTCTGGGTCCTCTCGGTCTTAGCAATATAATACTACAATATATCCACGACGATATCCGCAACGTATTGAAGCGCGCGTCCAAGTGAAGACAAAAAGCTGTGTGCGCGAGCCACACTAAAAAAACACCGTATCCGCGCCACATCATAATCGCAGCGGCAACGAGCACTTTGATCACTTGATTTATAAAACACATATCATACACAGTTTTTGATGTATTAATATTTAGTAAAACACTGATGGGTTTTAACTTCATTCAGGAGATTTTGGGTAACTGCATAACTGACAGACGATGACTGCGCGCGCGTGCGCGTGTAACCATAGTGACAAAACCACCAACTCGGATCCTGCACTCAAGTTTATATTTTCGTTTTTTTAAGAAAAATATATTTAAGTATTTAAAAAGTTGCAGAATGGATTATTTTGGAGACTTTGAAATCGGCAGAGATAGACAAGCAATGCAAAACAATATCTTACAAGTTAAGCTTGCTCCGGTCTCGACCTTGTGGTCTCGACATGTTAACGGTAGTGTCTTCTGTCTTGGTCTCGATATCCTGGACTTGGTAGTTTCTTGGACTCGATTTTGCCGGTCTTCTACATAGAGCTAAAAGTGGAATTTAAAAAAAAAAAAAATGAAATTCCTCAGAATAACAACCGACCGATTCATTGGAGTTTGTACCCGTTACACATTCAAAAACAGCCCCGCATCACAAAGCCCACGCAGAATCTTCACACTGTCAGTTACCATGGTAACACACGTACAACCACGCCACCCGAGCAACCTGCAACATCTCCAGGTTTAATTGAAAGCGCAGTGTTTACATTGCCCTAATTTAAGTCAAATCACGTCGCAGTAGAGTTTAAAAATAATTACTGAAGCACCAGCTGAATGCCTTTAAATCCCCGGATTTTTAAATCCATTTCTAACCTCAAACCTACTTTAACAGAGGAAAAACAAATCCTCAATGCAAGTATATTAAACCTTTCATTAAAGGTGTGCCATGCCTTTTGTCTGAACGCTGTGATAAACTGTATTTTGAAGTAAATTACACAGCACAATCTTGAAGGCCTGCTTCTCAACAGTTAGTGTGACCTCTGTTAAGTGAAACGGCTCCCATTTCAGATACGCTTTGTTTTATTTGAACAGCTTTTATTGGTTGAGTGGTGTTGCATGTTGCTGAAACTTCTCTTGATTTTATTAATTTAACAGTGCATGAGCTGGACTGGGACTGTGGTTTACAGTATAGTCACACTCATAACACAAACGTTGCAGCTAAAAATCTTGGAGTATCATATCCACATTCAAATGTATGATGCCCCAAAACAGATGTATAGCAGTTCACTACTAGATCTTTAAAACAGCCATAGTTTGATTATTATTATATAACAGTTTCAGTCTGGCTGCTGATTGGTCAGCACAAACACAAACTAAAACAAGTAAAATTGACTTTGTCTTTTGCAAGTTTTTGCATGCATTATTTATACATAAATTTCACAGGGAATTTCAGTTTAAAGGGGTGATAAACTGAGAAATCATATTTTCCTTGAGCTTTTGACATCTAAGAGGTCATCATATTATAAGAATATCCTATAAGTCTCAGAACTGAAAACATCCTTGTTAGTCCAATAAAAGCTTTTATTGACACCAGCCTCAGCAAACGATTCGTTTTTCAAAGCGGGGAACTATGACGTCAAAGAGGATAAATGCCTAGAAAGATGCTCGTGATGACAAACCTGGTTGTGGAAGAAGACAGTCGCTGCATATGCTTCCTCTGGATTCCAATAGGATTGCATGGATAAACTTTATTTTTAATGACGTTCCAGCTGATGAGGTAAAACATTGTCCGTCTGTTCGGACTCTGGATCGAACGTATGGGCGAATCCTTCCGGTTGCCATTTTACAACATTGGAAGTTTTCAAAACTATTTCCCCTGTGCACCGACGAGGTGAGTTGAAACTCATTATAATATGCAAAACTGTTACCCACTCACAGCAGTGGGCGTTTACTTCCAAGTCTTCAGTGCTAAACGCCAATAAAAACTGAACGTTTTTCAGGTAGGGTCAAAACTAGGGTAGAAAATAGTCTATTATTCATTTTGATACTTTTGAATGCAAAAACCAAGCAAACGTCATAAATTGACCTCAGACAACAATATAATAAAATTTAAAAAGCCAGTTCATGACCCCTTTTAAGTCAAGGTTTAAGAACAGAACTGTCAGATTTTTATTTTGTACTTGTTAATTGCTCTTAAAGGGTTAGTTCACCCAAAAATGAAAAATTAAGTCATTAATTACTCACCCCCATGCTGTACCAACCCCGTAAGACCTTCGTTCGTCTTCGGAACACAAATGAAGATATTTTTGATTAAATTTGAGAGCTGTATAACTACCACATTGGCTCCTAAGGGACTGCCTCTTGACGGCCCAGAAAGTCAATGAAGAAAATGTTTAAATATCCCAAGTGACTACCGTGGCTCAACTATATGTTTATCAAGCGACGCGAATACTTTTTGTGCGAAAAAACAAACAAAAATAACGAGTTTATTCGACTATTTCTTTTCTTCCTTGTAGGCCAGAACGAGAATTCCTTAGATTTCCACGACGCATGCGCGAGATTTGCGATCTGCTTACACCAGCTTAGATCGCAATTCTCGCGCATGCGTCGTGGAAATCTATAAGGAAGTCTCGTTCTGCCCAGTGTCTTATTTATTTTACTGTACAGGATTATAGAGGCAATCTCAGTGATCAGAGAAGGACTCATTCAGCCCATCAGGCAATTATTTAAGCATGTATGGGTTATGGAAAACTGGTATTTTTAACAAATGTTGCGCAATGCACCTTTAAAACTAATTTCAAAGTAATCTCAAGTACTCAACTTTAATATTTTTAGTAGTTGAAACTTAACTAGGTAATTTAATAAATACTAACATACTAAATGGTAACACAATGCTTTGAACAATATAGAAATTACTGAAAGAGTATGGAATTTAATATTTCAATATAATCTCTTAAAACTCATCTTTGATCATCAAAATGACATATTAGAAGTTCTTTCCTTGAAAAAATAAAATATTGCCTTAAAATAGCTTAAATGCAACTACACCCTTGCTTCACTTAGTATTCGCGGTTTTATGAATATGCAGATTGATTGTGTTTTTGAGACTGTCTACGCAGTTTTAAAGAGAAAATACTCCGCAATGGTGTTGACTCATGAATTTGCATATGATTCGTCTTAAAGCATGTTAAAAAAAAAACACCACATATAGACATATAAACAATATTAAAAGTACAATATTATTATATCGACAGTATGATTTATAATGATTATACTATCACCAGAGATAAAAGCCATGCAGAGATAAACCAGCTAAGCACGCAAGGTGTGCACATGATGAGTGTTTTTCCCAGGGCGTTTTCGGAGTGCATCTTAACGGCACACTGACATCTTAACAGCCTCCAGTGATGGAAGGAGATGCTGCTGAATTCTCTCTCGCACGCGTCCGTTCCATCTCTCAGAGGCACATAAAAACGTCAGCTGCACATCATATCTGGGCTGTGTGTTACTGCAGTGATAGACAACAAGTGCCATAATGCTCAATAAAGATGTGGCTTGTTGTTGACAGAGGGGAAAAAAAGCCTCATACTGGCCATTAACTACAAATTCTCTCAGTTAATGGACAAATGTACTGAAAATCTCTCGATATACATGCTCACGCACGCATACGCACATCATCGACAGGGCTGAAAAAGGCCTCTAGAATCAGGAAGTGTTTTATGACATTAAGTAATGTGCAAGAATTACACTTTGGCTCACACCAAACTTTTGAACGGTTTCCACAAAAAGCAGCACTGTTTTCAACATTGATAATAATAAGAAATGTTCCTTGAGCAGCAAATTAGCATATTAGAGAGATTTCTGAAGGATCATGTGACACTAAGTGTCCAAATATTTCCTGGAGTCATAACATCACCTTTCACACAGCAATTCAACATTGCCACTTTTTTAATCATCTCTTACCTTTTGTTGTTCTTAACTCCCTCACCTACACCATGTTTGTTATCTTGTAGAAAAAAAGCACAGTTCCCATTGCCAGAGACAGATCCTGCTTGCAAACTCCTTGAATGATGTATTTTGTAGTGTCTGGGACGGCCTGCAATCGATACAACATAAACTAAATCCTTACACGGTATTTGAAACGTATCTTCACTCTCATGACACAAATAACGCTTCCTTTCACAGTACAGTACCTACGTGTAGTTACCTATAAAGTACTGGCTAATATAAGGCATGTACATGGGTTAGGGGTAGGTTCAGGGTTAGTACCTATAGTTATTACCCAGTGATTGTAATTACTATAATAAGTACATAGTATGTGCATGGGTAACAGGACTGTAAAAAGAAGCGTTACACACAAATTCTCACTATAGAAAACTACAATACATACCTGTTACCTGTAATTCATGGTAAACGCTTAAGAGAACAGAACCTGTAATATTACAGTACATAAAACTCCTGATTGGCTCATCCAATCAGAGGAAGTGACAGTTCTTTCTGACATCATCTCATTAGTCTCAAAGCCAAGAGCGTGGCCAGAAGTGTCCCTTTCTTAAGAAATGTACTTTAGAGAGAAAGGTGCAAGAAACACAAATATACAGTTAAGAAAGACTAGATCCACTTTATCAACTTCATTTAAACCAGACATCATGTCTTGTGATCATTTGACAATAACGTCACAGCTAACATCACACAAATTAACCAAAACTTCTCAGTTTCCATACATTTTTTAATCACTGTAATTATGAGTAAATGTACTGTAACTGGTCTGGGAGCCTGTCGGGCTCCTGGAATTATCATTTAAAGGAAGGCACGTCACATGTCTGAACATTTTGCATGTTTTGATCACACAGAAAAAAAGGTACAAACTGCTGACATCATGTTATCTGGGATTTTCTCAAAATTAAATCTTCCCAATAAAAAAAAAATACTCCAAATAGTCAGTATTGAGCTTGAAAAGAATTTGCGAATACATATTAGCAGAGAACATTGATGCACTCTTCATGAAAGCAGAGACTAATGCAAGCATATTTGGGGCATAGAGAATGTGGACAGATTATAAAGTCTTTCTGTTTTGTGATTTACACACTCATAGCCTGACAGGATATCTTCTCAAGACAATAAAACCATCCCAAGTGTCATTATAACCCAAAGTGAGCTCTATTTGAATGATGGCACTGAGCTTGTGAGTGTGAGCACTTCTAGGGGGTGATGTTTGTCAGGGCCGTTTTAAACTGTCTCAGAAGCATAGATGCGATCACGGTTTTCTCTGTGTTAACGGTGATCAGAGCATCAGGATCCTTCAGGGCGACTGACACCAGGACCAGAGAACCAGAACTCACCGTCTTACCAGCAAACCTGGAAACAGACACACAAAAATGAAGGAAATAAAAGAACATTGGATTTTCATAATTTAAACAGCATAGACACAATTTACTTCAACAAATACCCTTAATGTTATCATGCACAATTCATACATTTATACAAGTAATCATTCCACTACATTACAGTAATAACTTTCTGTACATCTGAAATTCTGAAATTACGGATATCAGGTATCCAACCGTTAATAGCAATTACTTATTATTAAAGAAAGTAAGTTAATAAATGCATTTCAAGCACATAAATTTGTACCATACCATATGTGAGCATGGGAGAGGATGTGTGTGTGTGTGTGTGTGTGTGTGTGTGTGTATGTGTGTGTGTCCATGTGTGGGTGGGTGGGTGTTGAACAGGCATGGCAGTCTATTATTTGGTCTGATTAAGAAGCTATTAGGGGCCAAGGGACACACTCCTGTCAATCACAGACTCGAACCGGGTAGACTCTCACAGACAGCGAGCAAAAAGTGGGGGTGTGCACTAAATAGTGCAGAGGACAAGAAGACTTCAGAACTGAAGGAGCAAAGCATAGAAAAAGTGATATACATGCTGCAGTATTAAAGGCCATTCACACCAGTACCAAACGATCCAATTATGTCGGACGATTTTTGTGGGAGATTCATTTAGCTCCGTCATTACACATATATATTGCTAATTGAGTAAGTAAGCTTTACTTGGCATCCTTCTGCCAGTAGATATAGTCACTGATATATGCAAATCAGGTATAATGGAAAGAAACGTGGAATAATTCAGTGTGATGTGGATACAGCAGTGTATTTTTGCAACGCTGGAACGCTATTTGATCAAACATCCAGCGAAAGCCGCTATCGATTTTAAAATGAAATAGAAAATGCTAAAATGGGAATGGATGTGTTGTCATTTACCTATAAACGGTAGTGTATGCTGTAGTGAGCTATAGTAGTAACAGTGGTGAACTGTACTAATAAACCGTCCCATAGCGCTGTGGGAGAATTCTTGGTGCCCAGTAACCTTGGTAACGTCACAGACTGGAAACACTAGTGAACGTACTGACAGTGGAGACACGACCCTGTCCGACCTCTACGCCCTTGTACCTCCTTCGTGTCTGTCTATCCTTCTCTCTCTCACTAAGGAGGACCCACGTGCCTGATACACTGCCATCTGCCTCCCATTTACACACCCTATTATACTACAATGGACCGTTTAGCACACACCCACACGCCGGGACCCCTTTTAGCACTGAGAAGCACACATGCCCCCTGTCCCACCATGAGGCCCCTCTTTGACTCCCAAACTCGGTCTCACACACACACACACACACACACACAATGGCCACCATTTAGTCATGACAGCATGAGACACAAGGGCCGTCAGAACAAACTGCTAACCAACTGGAGAAGGGATCACATCTGACAATCAGGACACACATATAGACAGACAGACCGAATGAACTAACGACAGATAGAACGTCAGACAGACAGATAGATGGATAAGACAGGTCTAGTATTTTGTATCTCTGTGATGTCAGTATGCTGATGACACTTTGATCTCTCAGTCCCTGCGGCACAACTAATGGAGTCAGTTTATAAAAATCTTATTTACACACGAACTTAACACAGCCCAGAGGTACATTGTGTGTGTGAGAGAGTGAATGATAACCCAAAGCCACTTGATTTACATGGTTTCAGTGGCATTTAAACTTACACAAATATAGACACACACAGAGAGTGCACAGTACAATTACATCTCTGCAGGGTCCTGATACTGGACAGTTATTCTGTTTAACTCTCCCTTGTCTATCTGTCTTTCATTCTCACGTAAAATAAACATTCACACACCCACAACAGCTCTACCCAGTGTGTGTGTGTGTGTGTGTGTGTGTGTGTTGTATACGGGGTGGTTCAGGCACTAAATGGGTCATTGGTATTCTAGTCTATCTCCACTGGGCCTCTGAACTGGATTAATTGAGGCTGTGGGAAGAAAAGCAAAGCAGAAGCCCAGTGCTGGCCAGCCGGGCCGCTATCGATCCACACACACACTTTAACACACACACACTTTAACACTTGCTCCTAATCAGAGATAGAGACTAAATGACTGTCGTCTCTTTATTCAACCTTAAAGACTAGACTGGTGAGATTCCAGTTCACACGGAACAGTTCTCATTCACTTTCACAGATGAACATAACAGTGAAAGAAACATTGCTCAGCCAATTTAGTAAATCATATTTTATATCATTTTAAATCATATTTATAAAGGGTCTGCTTCACAGATTAACAAAGGTGTTGATGTAAATGGGTAAACCACACAAAATTTGTCATGAACCTTTATTTATATTATTTAAAGCCAAAAAAAAAAAAATTATATCTTACTTATTGGAAAAAAAGTTGTTGTTTTTTATTGTGCAATTATATTAATTACAAGCACATTTAGCCAATCATCCTTCCTATAATGAAAAATAAATAAATACATTGCCATAATCTTTACTGCAAAATAGTGACACATTTACAGTACTTAAATACCATGGTATACATGCTGCATTGTCTGCATTAAAAAAAAAGTAAAATATGTATTTAAATAAATAATAAAATAATAATGTAATAATTTATTGTTTAAAATTTTATATAAAATATTTAATATAGAAATATATAATTATACAATAAAATGTACACATTAAAGTATAAAAAACGATAGCATGTTGGTGCCAGACGGGCCGGTCTGAGTTTTTCACAATCTGCTCAGTTACTGGGAATTTCACACACAACCATTTCTAGGATTTACAAATAATGGTGTGAAAAGGGAAAAACATCCAGTATGCGGCAGTCCTGTGGGTGAAAATGCCTGGTTGATGCTAGAGGTCAGAGGAGAATGGGCCGACTGATTCAAGCAGATAGAAGAGCAACTTTGACTGAAATAACCACTCGTTACAACCGAGGTATTCAGCAAAGCATTTGTGAAGCCACAACACACACAACCTTGAGGCGGATGGGCTACAACAGCAGAAGACCCCACCGTGTACCACTCATTTTCACTACAAAGAGGATACAATTTGCAAGACTTGAAAAATATTGCCTGGTCTGATGAGTCTCGATTTCTGTTGAGACATTCAGATGGTAGAGTCAGAATTTGGCGTAAACAGAATGAGATCATGGATCCATCATGCCTTGTTACCACTGTACAGGCTGGTGGTGGTGGTGTAATGGTGTGGGGGATGTTTTCTTGGCACACTTTAGGCCCCTTAGTGCCATTTGGGCATCGTTTTAATGCCACGACCTACCTGAGTTGTTTCTGACCATGTCCATCCCTTTATGGCCACCATGTACCCATCCTCTGATGGCTACTTCCAGCAGGATAATGCACCATCCATGTCACAAAGCTCAAATCATTTCAAATTGGTTTATTGAACATGACAATGAGTTCACTGTACTAAAATGGCCCCCACAGTCACCAGATCTCAACCTAATAGAGCATCTTTGGGATTTTGTGGAATGGGAACTTCGTGCCGTGGATCGTTTTGTGCATCCCACAAATCTCCATCAACTGCAAGATGCTATTCCTATCAATATGGGCCAAGAATGCTTTCAGCACCTTGTTGATTCAATGCCACATAGAATTAAGACAGTTCTGAAGGCGAAAGGGGGTCAAACACAGTATTAGTACAAAACTATTGAATGTACTGAAACATATTTTAAATATATATATATATATCCTATTTACGCTTCTGCAAAGGCCAGAAATCATTTCCTTAAACAAAATACTAGTCATGTTCTTAAAGACTGAAAGCAAATGTTTTGCACCGGGTGCACCATATGGTAAAGCCTTATTCTGGTATCTTGTTCCTCCATGTCCTCAAGTCTGCAGAGAGGGTTTTAGTCATCAATTGCCAAATGTCCGTGCCAAGTGTGTTTGTGTGTGAGAGTGTGTGTCTGTTTTAAGAGTCCTCTGTACTAATAGAGGTTAATGTGAGTGACCAGATGACCAGCTGTCCCTCTCCAGAATGAAGGACAAGCTTCTCTCCTCTTCTCTGAAACAAATTCCACTCACACAGCTGCTAACTAACACACAGAGGATAGAAGTACACATACACTAAAGAGAATGCAAGAAATATGACGTAAACGGACATGAAACACTCTGGTCCTGCTGTAGGAGAGCAGAGGACCAGGAGACAGACATCACAAGACTAAAGCTAATTGTGAAGACTTGCGGAAGACAGAAGTGAAGAACGTTTGATTCAAATCAATGGAACGAAAAGTGTACTGTGAACGCCTCTTATCACTAAACACACACAGCAAAAAAAAAAAAAAAAAAAAAAAAAAAAAAAATCACCTTATCTATAATAAGCCCACTGATATGGCTGCTTGTTATCGCTTTGGTTTGGCTCGCTAAAAAACAAAAGTGAGAATAGCAGCGATTCATTCCGTCTCTGTTTAGTAGCAGAGAGGACAGCATGTTTTCTTTCGGTAATCTAGAGAAGGACAGGAACAGAGTTCAGTTTTTCAAGCTCATATAGAAGCTGCTCTCCAAGATTCCCCTGCATTCTCCCGCTGCAGCTTTAGACAGAAGCAGTGCTGCCCCCTGCTGCCAAACTGAAGAACTGCAACCCACAAACACCCCCAATCCACAGAACAACTGGGTCAATTAGCTCTAGCACACCAATAGGGCACCATTAACCACAGAAAGTGCAGAACTTTGTGCATACATGTTAATAATGACATCTACAAGAAAAGTATACTATTAAAAAGGTGCCAGTAGGAAAAGAGACCATATATTTCTCATCACTTGGTAAAAGTATATAAACAAGTATGTAATTAACATCTAAACTGCAGTACAACGTTAAAAATCGAAAAAAAAAAAAAATGGTGCCAGTTAAACTTGAAATGTTCTTAATAAAAATTTACATAGAACATCTCTTTCACATGTTTGTTAGGATTTCTAAAGGTTTGTAGAAGGATAAAGGAGTTTTCTTTCAGTAAGTCTGTTAAGAAACAGCCGTGTGATTGATGACACGCTCTCATTTGCCCGATTGCGTATTCTAAATGAAATATAGGCCTTTTCCACAGACCTGCAGGCATTGATTTCCACTCAGCCTGTGTGCTGTGTGTCCTTGTGAGGAAGATTTTAATGCTTCTCAAGGTGCTTTCATATTTGCTCATATTTTATAATTAAATTACCCTACATCAGACCGACCCAAAGTACAAACCAAACGTCATTTTGTTTGCGTGCATATAAGAGACAGAGACAAATAAGTTTGTCCGTGTGTCAGCAAGATGGCTGCATGTGTGTGTGTGTGTGTGTGTGTGTGTGTGTGTGCATACATGAAAGTTTTGGCTGCTACAGAGTCCTTTACAAAGTCAGAAAGACGTCCTATGGTAATTACTCTGAAAACTGTGAATCTCTGTAAACGTTCACGAAACACATGCATCTCTATGCCTAACTATAACCCTTAAAAACTTTGCAAACTGCATTTTAAGAGGAAAAAAGATAACTGACTGATGTGCAGTGGTGGAATGTAACGAAGTACAAATACTTTGTTACTTTACTTAAGTAAATTTTTCACGTATCTTTACTTTACTTAAGTACAATAAATAGTGCATACTTTTTACTTTTACTTCGTTACATTTTGCAGCAATTATTCTACTTTCTACTCCACTACATTTCTAAAACTTCTGTTACATTTTCGTTACATTTTCTGATCAGTTTTTCCCCTGCCAAAACGTAATCTGACCGTCCGTTCATTGCACGTTTGTCTCACCAGTGACGTTTGGTTGCCATAGATAGGCTACAGTATATCAACCTGGTCACACTAAATGCGTCTCACGCGCAGTGTGTTTATCGTGCAACTCATACGCGAAAATTTGTTTTTACGTGCATAGGAAACACACCGTGTGTAATATATGTTTGGTTTGGTTAGGATTATGGCAAGCCAAGAGGTTCAGAATTACACCATAAATTAATCTCGTTTACTGCCAAACATAGTTATTAACATATAGTAAGGATAAGCATGATATTGCCTAATTGCAAGCTTGTTTCAGAAATGGTGACATGTTTTCCATCATTATTGAACATCATTATAGGAGTATTAGGTTGAATGAGTTACAATTAAATGTTTTATTAATCATTAGAAAATAGACATTAAGAGAATGAGAAATTGTTATGCAAGTACTTTTACTTTTAATACTTAAAGTACATTTAAAATAAAGTACTTTTTACTTTTTACTTAAGTATGGTTGTCATTGTGTTACTTCTACTTTTACTAAAGTAAATATTTATCTGGGTATTTGTACTTTTACTTAAGTACTGAGATTCAGTACTTCCTCCACCACTGCTGATGTGTAACTGACACAAACCACTTTTCCTTTTTATGACATTCCCAAAAGTAGGTTTTGTAAGTTTTATGCAACTTCTACAGACATTTTTTCTGCAAAAAATGTCCTGAAAGTATAGCTAGATTAGACATAAACGCACAAATTCAAGTCCTGGAGAGCAGAGAAATCTATTAAGCTCGTATAAAAATACTGTTTAAAAAAATAACTATGACAGTAAACCTAAAGATGGAAATGAATATGAGGCATTGTTTCTAAGAAAGAGGACATTATCTTTACCTGTGTATGTTCTCTTGATTGGATGGGATCACACCTAGGTTGGCGGCAGACACCACATTTCTGTTTACTGATTGGCTGGAGATGTTCTCTGGCGTTGTTGTAATTGTTGCCGATGACTCGTTCATGCCCACCAGTTTACCTGTGCACACAAATAATCATTAGTTTTAGACTGAGTAATCTAGGCTCTACAGATATTCAGGCAACAGTTGAAAAAGTCAGGAATTGGTATACTTTTTATTATTATTTTGTTCTGTAAATTGTTCTGTGAGCCCAAGTTAGACTCTAAACTGCAAGAGCCATATGTATTTGTTGATTATAACAGGAAGTGCTTGTTTATGAAGTTAAGAGATGAAAAATTAAGCCTTGAATGGAATAGTTTACAAAAAAAAAAAGAAAAAGAAAGTAAATTCTCAAGTTTACTCCAAACCTGTATGACCTTCTATCATGAAAAACAGCAGTTGTGATTTTCCACACACACTTAAAAGTTTAGGGTCAGAAGTATTTTTTATGTTAACGATAGACCATTTCACAAGATGTAAACAACACTGGTCCAGAAGCACTTCCTGTTTCAGTTTTTTAACACTACATAAAAACTGGGATAAAATACAACCAACAGAACATATAAAACTGAATCAAAAAGTTAAACAAACATCTTTAAGATGTTTTCTTTACATGTGAAACAAAGAAAACAGTTACAAACTGAAACAGGAAGTGTTTCTGGACCAGTGGTGTCTACATCTTGCAAAATGGTCTATAAAAGTCCCTTTTGCTCACCAATCAAAACTATAGTTTTTTATATATACATTTATTTACAGCTATTACTAGTTCATTTCAGTTCAGTTTATTTATACATCACTATTATTGACCAAAGTGCTGTACAATAATACAATTCTTCCAAATAAAAGTACTCCAGTCTTCAATGTCACATGATCCTTCAGAAATCATGCTAATATGCTGATTTGCTGCTTTTATTTTTGTACAGTTCTGTTACTTATTTTTGTGATCATGTTTTTTTCAGGATTCTTTGACGAAGAGAAAGTTCAAAAGAAGAGCATTAATTTGAAATAGAAATATTTTATAACATTATGTGTTTACGGTCACTTTTTGATCAATTTAATGCATCCTTGATGAACAAACGTATTAAAATCACATTAATTCCATAATGACTATGCCTTTTAAAATATGAAAACCTAAATCAAGGGAACACTTCCAGAAAAATCTTCAGCATAAAGCTTTTAGGAAACTCACACTTGGGATTTATGGAAAGAAACATCTAGTATGCATACATGTGCATTATTTCATATTTAACATAACTAGCACAGAATGAAAGGTGCGGGGTTAAAATAATCCAGGCCTTCGGTAAGAGCATGCGATATTTGTGGGCCGCGTTGGACCACTAGACTTGATTAAGACTAACACGAGCGGAGAAACACGGCGACCCTGCAGGACATTAGCCGGAGATGGCGTGAATAAGCCTCGTCGAGCGGTAACAAGCACATAAAAGCAGCACGCCGTTGCTTCTCCGAGGAAACGTGTGCGGACAATACAGCTTAATGCAACCAAACTGGACTAAATGAAAATGTTGTGTTTCACTTAAAAAAAACACAGAAAGGCAGGGTGCTTTTCTTTCTGAAAGGCACAAACTACGAGCCACTTCAGGGTGGCTTTCAAACCGTGTGAATGTGAGAGAGCGCACAGTGATACGTGCAAACACACACACACATACGTGCACTCGCTCGTACAGGGGGCAAGGTTTTTGAGAGTGCTCATTTAAAGTCTTAAATCTGTCCATTAGGCTCTATTGTAGAGAAAATGTGGAGTAAATGAATATAGCGCGGCTTATGCTAAAAGCCTTTGCCACAGCAACCAATTAAGAATAAATGATTGGCTATAAAAAGCATCTTACTTCCTGTTCCTCGTCTGTAAATAGTGAGGCGGGAAGCACTCTCTTCTCTCATTAAAATGTGCGCGCACGCGTGTCGTCCTGAGTGAAGGTATAGGCGGCTCTCTAAAAAGACAAGGCAGGAATCCATTGAGTGTAAATGAAAAATCAAACCCGCCGCTTCTTTCGGAGAGCGTCTGCTTCATTATGTCGGCCTAATGTTGGGCCGTAAAGCGGAGAGAGGTATTCGCACGGGCCAGGTTTGTGTGTGTGTGTGTTCCCGAAAGGCATCCGAACAAACCAGATGCATGCTAAACTAAGCTTTTCTACTCTTGGCTTCCATTTATTTGGTTTTCCCATGCCTGTGTTTGGTTTTATTAGCTGGAACGGTTTGTTGCCCTGAGGATGGAGGAAGAAATTTGATCAAGAGAGGTTTAAAGTTAATTTCTGCACCACTACCATAACTAAAAAATCTAAAAGTAATGACTGTTTTCAAACAGGTCTCCCAGTAGCTAGTCTATCATTGGTCAGACAAACAAAACATGATCTGCAACATGACATCATGACTTTTGCGTAAACATACGCGTCACTTTCGAATCAAGTGGCGTGTTCTGTATACGCATTTTGAGATATCCGCGTGTATGCATGTATGAGTGCATGTACACGCCGTTAAATGTCCGAGCGAAACGAAACAAAATGTAGATCTACATCTGGGGAGCGATATTTTTTTTCCTAGGATGGTAGGGGAAGACTCATAAATGGTATTAACACCAGTGACCCGGTTAAGGGGCGGGGTTGGGGTAGGTAATATATTTATATACAGTAATGTAACGTTAAGTCAACGGCGTTCATAAACACGCTGAAAAGCGATAATGCGCATTGAAAGCATGCCAAAAATACAAACGCCATTTCATGAGATCAGTCTGTGATTGGCTGAGACATTTACTCGCATCCTAAATTGCCATACGTCCCTACTATATAGTAAGAGAAAAACACTGAATATAAAAAGAATTTATAAAAGAGTAAGGGAAAGATATGCTTCTGATGGACACTTTACTATGCTTAGAGGAGTTGTGAAAGGCAGCAACAAAACTAACAATGACAACATGATGGATGTAGTACGATTCATACAATACACATTCATGCTATATAGAACGGTTAACAAAATGATTAATTTTTCAAAAGAAGTATACTAGAGTATGCGATTCTGGAGGCAGCCATTGTAAGCAGGCAGGAAAAAAGCATTTTAAAATTGAAAAATTGGCTCAGAAACAAGAACAGATTAAAAAAAAAATTCACATCAAGTAGTTAACCGCAAAATAGTTTCTATAATAGTTCCTGCGGAGAACAGGTCACGTGTCAGGCCTAGATCTCCGTGGACAACTTGTTCTGGCCTCGCGGTGTACGTGTTAAGTGTATGTGTGTCAGATTTGCCTGTCTGAGCTTTCTGCATCAGCGGTTATATTCAGAGGGACAGTTCGAAGAGCGGGGACAGTATTACATGAGAGAATGTGTGTGTGTGTGTTTAAATAACCAGATTTATATGTAAAGAGCTGCTTTATTTGAGTTTTTCAGCGGTGCACGCCTGTCACCAGCACTCAGCCAGTTCATCAACTAAACACTGCACACATTCAAAGTGGTGTGTGAGGATCTCTGGCTTTGCCAACATGTTTGGGCCAAGCAGCTCTGGAGTGCATATGTGTGTGAATATGGGAACGGATCACATGCATTTGAGTTTTTTTTTAAGACATACTGATTAGGCTGGGCGATATATATATTTTTTATGATATATTTAAAATTATTTAATTAAAGTAACATGACTTTTCCTTTTTTTTTTTTTTGCCCATTAAGTTTTCCATGTTAAGAAACAATGTTTTAATAAAGTCTGTTATCATCATTTGTAAGTGTAAGGTCAATGCAACGGAATCCATGAATCAAATGATCGGTTAAGTGAATTGGTTCAAAACTCTGATTCAAACATATCTAGATTTTGGTTTTGAAATTTTAATTCAAGTTGGGTATTATGGTTGTTTGGTGGAAATATTATGATTCTACATGCTATGAAAATAGAAATATCACCCTAAGCATAGGCTTAAAATGGCGTTTATATATTGAATATCAGCCAGCCCTCAGTAGTATGTTCTTGAGGTGTTTGAGAGTGGTCTGTAGAAGTTTTTAAGAGACAGTCCTGTATTTTTGAGGTGTTTAAGTGTTATTTGAAGGTTTGTACAGCAGCAGTGTTGTGTTTTGTAAGTGCTAAGAGGTGTTTGTATTACCCTGCTCTTTGGTGAAGTCTGCTTCACTCATTGTGATGGGCAGTAGCAGCTCTCCTACTGCAGGCTGGATGGACACGCTGAATTCATCTTCTTTAGTACTGAAGGAGGAGAGAACAGAACCATCAGGTCACTACACAACTGTCCATCTTTTCCCATGTTTCCCTTCTATACACACATTACTGTTCAAAAGTGTGTGCTCAGTAAAAGAGTTTTGGAAATGAATATTCCACAAGGATGGATCAAATTGATCAAAAGTGACAGTATCAACTTTTACAGTGTTACAAAGAAATTATTTTTCAAATAAATGCTGACTATTGAAAAGAAAATCCTGAAACAAAATTGCAGGATTGTTTTCCAGAGAAAAGTTATTTTAAACTGTAATATACATTTAGTGCTGTCAGTCGATTTAAAAATTAAATAATTAATTGAACATTTTTCTCATTTTCACATTTAATCGCACCTAACATTGAAGTTTAGTACATTTTTATGTTGTAATAATTTCACATTTAATTGCCAAATTAACATACAGTTATTTTAAATATTTGATTTAACAGTTAGAATATACAGAAATTCAATAAAGTTATCAAACAATTCCCAATCTTCACATAAAAATAGATAAATCTATTAAAACTTATTAAAGCCTTTGTTCTTTGGTTATCCTCAATGACAGACATTACAGCAGCAGGTTTATTTGGCTGCTGTCACTTTAAGATTTTTATTTTTATTTAAACTTTGTTTAACCAGGTTAAGATCTGACGCACGAGACACATCCGATGTCCTCACAACTCTGAAGTTCTTTTTTTAAGACTTATCACGCTTACATGCCTTAATCGCACAAATGAAATTGAATGAACGATAGCGTGATCATTTAATGTAGCACTATAGCTAAAGGATGAAGGAAAAAATGGATGCTGCGTTAATTGTGTTAAATATTTTGAATGGATTAAATTAAACGAATGGATTGCATTTGTTTACACATTCATTTTATTTTATTTTTTTATCAAATAAATGCAGGCTTGGTGAGCACTAAAAATTTCTTTTAAAAACATACATATATGGTATTTGGTACAATATAGAAGAAATTCACCACCTACAATTATATTTATGGTATTTCTGGCAAATTGATGTCGTCTTAAGCTCAGTAACGAGAAAATAATTTCCAGAAATATGTACAAATGAAGTAAATATGGTTCATTTTGATTACATCTTAAAGCAGTAAAACATTTTAGGTAAGTTATAATAGTTATTTACAGTTTTTAAAGTAACATTTTACATCCATGAGGAAAGACTAAAACCCAATCTATTTTGTTTTCGGCCCCCCCTTTCATCCCAAAAGAGTAAAAGAATAAACTTATTGATTGTCAGATTTGCCAATTTACTTTGTAAGTAGTCAATTAGCTGAGAAACAGAACTGTTATTACCATCCCACTGGATCAATCATCACTGATCCACAGATGGAGAGAGCCGAAAGACGGATAGAAAGAAGGAGTGAGAGAGGAGAATGAAAGGCATTTCTATTTGGATATATTCGTACTGATTAGCATCCCCACTGTCTGTGGCCAATTGTAGGAAAGAAGACTGTCAGGTACTCCGATAAAGACTGAAATCTGACATTAAAGTCCCATCATGAAGAGCAGAAGGCTGGGAAATAGGAAGCCAATAAAGAGTGAATCCAGGAGTGGGAGAACAGGGTCACTACGGAGATCAGGTGATGAGGGGAAACAGGCTAGAAAAAGATTTAGAGTCCAAATAAGCGGGCTAGGGATCAACGTGCAAAGTAAATCCAGGTATTTCTTTATAATACGGCATAATCTCTTGACGTATCGGTGAGAGAGAGCGCCCGAATCCCTCCTTAAACCGACTCCATGAGCTCGGCTTTTGTCTAGGGCCACAGACATGCGTGCGGGCCTGACCTGTGCCCACTCGTCTCCATGTCATTGAACTCACATTGGCTCCATTAGCACACATAATCTACCGGTCTCTTGCTCGCTCTCTCTCTCCGGCTCGGCTGTTTATGGTGATGTTATTCACGCCTGGCTATTTCACTGTATCGATCACAAAAGCCTCCGGCGTAATCGAAAAAAGAAAAAACAATTACAAGCTTTGTGGGGAAGTGTAATCACTCCAAATTAGATTATTAAAAAAATGTAATGCATATTATTACCATTCACACAATTCGGTAATAATTTATTTTTTAAAAACGTATTGAAAAGGGGAACAATTAATTTTGTCTTATTTTGCACTGTGTAAGGATGATGAACAGCAGTAATTTAATCTGTATAATGACATGCTAGCGCCATCATATTGTGCACGCATTGTGAGTGTCTATTAATGTTTTTGCTGAATGCTGTTTTTTGGAGGAAAGCAAACACCATCATGCCTCATGCTCAGGCGTGTCAGGGCGACCTGATCTAAGGGTTTTACTTCCACTAAAGCATATTGACTCAAGGTAGAGATATAAACTGTAAGAAATGTAATGAATCTGGTTCCTCTTAACGATATATATGATTTTCTGTATAGAGTATGAGGCATATATGCAGTATGCAGTGAACTCTTACCATAGCTGGAAGTTTGCAGCCTGTGTGGAGTCATTGAAGTCCACACCCATGGACACTGTTACTGACGCCTGCGGCTCCAAACGCTCTGAAGAGGGAGAGAAACATCTGTCAGCATGAGGTTCGAAGAATCAAAAGCATAAGATCAATCGAATTCTACAGAGAAAGATTAAAAATCAAAGCAATGTTTACATGTCAAGTAAGTAAGTAAGGAAGGAAGGATGGTAGGAAGGAAGGAAGGATGGTAGGAAGGAAGGAAGGACTGTAGAAAGGTAGGAAGGAAGGTAGGAAGAAAGGAAGAAAGGAAGGAAGGAAAGAGGGAAGGAAGGAAGGAAGGACTGTAGAAAGGTAGGAAGGAAGGTAGGAAGAAAGGAAGAAAGGAATGAAGGAAAGAGGGAAGGAAGGAAGGACTGTAGAAAGGTAGGAAGGAAGGAAGGAAGGAAGGAAGAAAGGAAAGAGGGAAGGAAGGAAGGAGGGAGGGGGAAGGAAGGATGGTAGAAAGGTAGGAAGGAAGGAAGAAAGGAAGGAAGGAAAGAGGGAAGGAAGGAAGGAGGGAGGGAAGGAAGGATGGTAGAAAGGTAGGAAGGAAGGAAGAAAGGAAGGAAAGAAGGAAAGAGGGAAGGAAGGAAGGAGGGAGGGAAGGAAGGATGGTAGAAAGGTAGGAAGGAAGGAAGAAAGGAAGGAAAGAAGGAAAGAGGGAAGGAAGGATGGTAGAAAGGTAGGAAGGAAGGAAGAAAGGAAGGAAGGAAAGAGGGAAGGAAGGAAGGAAGGAAGGATGGTAGAAAGGTAGGAAGGAAGGAAGGAAGGAAGGACTGTAGAAAGGTAGGAAGGAAGGAAGAAAGGAAGGAAGGAAGGAAGGAGGGAAGGAAGGATGGAAAGAAACAAAGAAGGAAGGATAGTAGGAAGGAAGGAAGGAAAGATGGAAAGAAAGAAAGAAAGAAAGAAAGAAAGAAAGAAAGAAAGAAAGAAAGAAAGAAAGAAAGAAAGAAAGAAAGAAAGAAAGAAGGATGGATCTGCTCCTCTTCCCAGAATAGAGTTGAATTTGTGAAACAGTATAGAAAGAATCTTCATCTCTTCTCCTCCATTCACAGCCATTAAATTCATCTTTGTGATGCTTTACCAACACAAGCATGATTCAATTTATGTTATAAAACCCGAACCTGTCCTATGAATGACTAAGAACTGTTTTGTGAAAGAGAAAGAAAGAGTGAGAACATCGGGAATGTGAGTGTGTTTGGTTCTGATGATAGGAGTCTGCTAATCGATACACAGGCTGAAATCATTTCAGCTGGATTAATACAGGCTGAAGGAGGGAGAAGGGAACATGTGAATGTGTGTGTGCTGAAGAAATCTGTTAACATTTACCAAACACATAAGATACAACTGGAAGGCTTTCCTGAATTCTATCAAATTTAGATGGTTTGTGATTAGCTGAACTGATTTAAAGTTTACATGACAATCTCAGGGGGGAAAAAGATTTAACTAAGGGGTGAAAAGAAGACAAAATCCTCCACAAGGGAAAGAGAAGGGGAACAGCCAAATGTAAAAACAACTAATATTCAAATAAATATTAATAATAATAATAATAATAATATCTGTAATTAAAACGTATAACTATCATCAACTATAATTAAAAAAATAAATACACAATGTTTAAAATGTAGTATGTAGGCAATTAAATGTGTATAATTTAAAGTAAAAATTATACACATAGTAAAATGTAAAAAAGTTTTTTAAAAAAAATGTTTTTAAATAAATAAATGTCAATATTAATAATCAATGTACGCAACAATAAGAATACGCTACGTAAAAACAACTTCGGTGGAAGGATGGATGGATGATTGGAGGGATAGAGGGATGGATGGATGATTGGAGGGATAGAGGGATGGATGGATGATTGGAGGCATAGAGGGATGGATGGATGATTGGAGGGATAGAGGGATGGATGGATGATTGGGGGATAGAGGGATGCATGGATGATTGGGGGATAGAGGGATGGGTGGATGATTGGAGGGATAGAAGGAGGGATGGATGATTGAAGGGATAGAAGGAGGGATGGATGATTGAAGGGATAGAGCGATGGGAGGATGATTGGAGGGATAGAGGGATGGGTGGATGATTGGAGGGATAAAGGGATGGATGGATGATTGGAGGGATAGAGGGATGGATGATTGGAGGGATAGAGGGATGGATGGATGGGTGATTTGAGGGATAGAAGGAGGGATGGATGATTGAAGGGATAGAGCGATGGGAGGATGATTGGAGGGATAGAGGGATGGTGGATGATTGGAGGGATAGAGGGATAGAGGGATGGATGGATGGATGGGTGATTGGAGGGATGGATGGATGATTGGAGGGATAGATGGATGACTGGAGGGATAGAGGGATGGATGGATGGATGGATGGTTTGAGGGATAGAGGGATGGATGGATGACTGGAGGGATAGATGGGTGGATGATTGGAGGGATAGAGGGATAGATGGATGATTGGAGGGATAGAGGGATGAATGCATGACTGGAGGGATAGAGGAGTGGATGATGATTGGAGGGATAGGGGGATAGATGGATGATTGGAGGACAGAGGGATGGATGGATGGGTGATTGGAGGGATAGAGGGATGGATGGATGATTGGAGGGATAGAGGGATGGATGGATGGTTTGAGGGATAGAGGGATAGATGGATGACTGGAGGGATAGATGGGTGGATGGATGATTGGAGGGATAGAGGGATGGATGGATGATTGGAGGGATAGAGGGAAGAATTGATGGATGATTGGAGGGATAGAGGGATGGATGGATGATTGAAGGGATAGAGGGAAGAATTGATGGATGATTAGAGGGAAAGAGGGATGGATGGATGATTGAAGGGATGGACGGATGATTAAAGGGATAGAGGGATGGATGTATGATTGAAGTGATGGATGAATGGTTCAAGGGAAAGAGGGATGGATGGATGGATAATTGGAGGGATGGATGGATGATTAAAGGGATACCTGTAGGATAAAGGGATGGATGATTGGAGGGAGGAAAAGTAGTAGTAGTTGCTGAATAGGCATTGATATGCAAATGTGGCTGTTTATGTTTTAATGTGCTGAATTTCATAATGATTTCTACACGGCGTGTTAAGCTCACCGATAGCGCTGAAGCGATGGATGTTTTGTCCGCTGGAACTCTTCTCAGAGATGTGGATGTTCTCGAGGGCTTGCTCACTGTTGTTGCTCAGTGTCAGCTGCAGGGACACCATGCTGTTGCCATAGATACAGGGCTGGCGGGTGAAGCGGTACTGGGCGGACAGACCTTTACCAGTCATCCTGTGGAGCAGCTCATGGGAGGTTTCCGGCACAAACACGGGAGAACTCGCCTGCGTACATGCCCAGGATATTAGAAATGGAAAGAACAATATGTATCAAAAAGAAATTTGGTCATTATGATCAGCAGCACTGACTTTACTGACTATAATTTGTGGTACTAATTAAGTAATAATAAAGACTATTGTGGTCTTAAACAGGTTGATCTAATTATTTAAAGGTGACGTAATTCTGACCAATGGAAGATGAAAAAAGTGTTTGTGAAAACCTGTATGAAAGTCATTATTTTTGCAATTGATCAAAAACCTTCAGCATGCTTATAATGTCAATGTTCACATTTAAAACATCTTTGTACACAGAGCGACAGGAAAAAAGAGGAGGTACAGTATATACATTCATTCTCTTGCACACATACAAATTGAGAGCCCATTTCTTATTAAATACCGGTAACCTTATTAAGCCACGTTTTGACTTTTGATCTTAATGTAAAATCTCTGAGACACAGATAAAGATGAAAGAGAAGCATTTGGCTATTTTCATTAGGAACACATTAGGAGAAACCTTAGTAAAAACGTCTAAAGAGCGTTAGAATAACACTTGGTTAATTTAAAAAAAAAAACACACACCAAATTCAGTTATCACCATAATGTTTTTATAATATATAATTAGAATCAGTTACTGTGATAAAAAATGTAAAACAATAAAACTGTTGTTTTTTTTAAATAGTTTTAAAACCACTTTAAATATCTTCTGCTCACCAAGGCTCCATTTATTTGATTAAGAATACAATATTATTATAAAAAACATTACAATTTAAAATAATAAGTTTCTATTTGAATATATTTTAAATTAAATGTATTCCTGTGATGCAAAGCTGAATTTTCATTTCATTTATTTATATAGCACATTTAATTGAACATCTGTTCCCAAAAGTGCTTCACAATCACACAAAAAACACAACACCAAAAATAGGAGGAGTACAGAGAAGAGAAAAAACACACAGAACATAGACAAGGTAATGATCAAATATCCATCATGAAGATGCCCAGGAAGTCTTCAACATATTTGCTTTTAACATGGTCTTAAATTTCAGTAATGACTTTACTGACCTTACAGAAAGAGGGAGATCATACCACAGCATCATTACTTCAGAGTCACATGATCCTTCAGAAATCACTCTAATATGCTGATTTGCTGATCAAGAAACATAATATTTTTGTGGAGACCATTTCTTTTTAGGATTCTTTGATAAATAAAGTAGATCAAAAGTATTTATTAGAATTCAAATTATTTGTAACATTTAAAATGTTTTTACTGTTATTTATTATCAAACTAATGTATCTTTGCTGAATAAAAGTATTAATTTCTCTATAACAATCTTACAGACATCACATATAACCAGGGCTTGACATGAACTTTTTTGGTTTTCCAAAATTACTAGCCACGCAGCACTTAGGCACATTTTTGTTGTTGGAAAATTACATTTTATATGACTAAACTTGACAATGGGGCTAAAATGTACTAATATTTTATTATTAGCTCTGAAGGTTTTAAAGCTCCTTTTTTGAAAACATGTTGTCTATTAATAAATGATAAACACATAAAATAGCTTCTTATTACATATAGGCCTACTAAAATAAAAGCGCTGTATCGGTTTTTTTTTTTTTGGGTTTGTTTGTTTTTTTACAGAAGTAAATACAATAATACAGAGTAGAACAATTAATCTGCATTAGAAACAACGAGCAAAGAATAAATGATTTTTTTCTAAGAAAAAGAATCCACAATTAAGGCAAGAGCATTACAACTTTATATGACAGTTTTGAGGACTTTGGATTGATTGTTTGTTTTGCAATCAGCATTTCCTCAGAGCTCTGACTTAATAATGATCATCATGAAGCTCTGGTAGCTCTGAATAACTGGAGATATGTACACCTGAAACAAGTATAGGCCTTTATTTTCCAGATTATTCCCACAAACACAACTGCTTTCTTTCATGGCGTGGCTAATTTTATTAAAACACAGAATTAACTCTGGAAAGATAGTTGTGATATGACGTGACATAAGGGCAGCCCTGACTGAACGCTGTGTTGATGTGTGTGTGTGCACCAGTCGCGTGTGATAATTTGACAAAAGTCTGGATGTCATTGGAGAGTGTGAGATGTACCGGTGGTCTGGATTCTCCTGCTATTAAATCAGATCGCTATATCATCACATTAAGCTGATAATTAAGGGCAGCCTAAAACAGCCCTCAATCCGACGCCCAGTCCGCGAGTTTAATCTCCGTGCATCTAATGTCGTTCAAGAGGATTCACGAATGGTCCAATGAGCAAACACACATGTGTACACATGTGAGTTGTAGTTTCGTAGTAATAAATTGCAATTTGTTTGTTATGTCAGATGTCTTTTAGATGACAAGACTAAATTTTTCAACACGCCAAAGTGGCTAGTGGGAGTGACCGTGTTACCCGCCACAGGCGAAATCCACTGGCATTTGGCGGATTGGCGGGTGTTAATGTCAAGCCTTGCATATAACCATTATATCCACTCTCGGCAATAACATAAAAATAATCATCCCCAATTGTTCCAGCAAAAAAGTCTCTATTAGTGCATCCCTTATCACGAACATTCACACATTATTACAATAGTTTGATTTAAAAAGAAAAATCTGTAATAGCCCAAAGAAAAGAAAGGCCGATCGTCATGCCTGAATTGCGTCCTGTGACACCGGCTGCCATCGATATGACGAGTGTGGAAAGACCACTGACGTCTCAATGCATTACTCCTGACTCTCTGGATTCTCTCTACCTCGTGTGACAGCAGAACAGATCGGCGGCTGATGGCAGTTTTCTGGCTCTACACAGCACTCCTGAACACCTGGACAGGGATGACATTTCTGCCTGCAATTTATTTATTGGCTGCGGCTCGGTCTTCAACACCAGCAATCCCTCTGAGCTATGGATTCCATCTGCAACCCAATACTGGAGTTCTCTCGTAGAGCGATGACGGATGTTATAAAAGCTAAAAATAGTGCAATGGAAATAAACTAAAAATGTGTAATGAAAAATTGCATCCTTTCAGCTTCTGATTCCTGAAGTGCCTCAAGGCTCTGTTTGGGGATCGGTAATGTTTTCACTACTTTAAACATTTTAACATTAAGACACACCAACAACAGGACCAAATAATATATGAAGAGTTCAGATGCAAAAGCCTCTAAATGCCATTTGAAATTTTCTTCTTTAATGATGATTTTTATCGAACTTGTATATTTAAGTTCAGTAATTTCACTTAAATGGCAATGATAATTACCTATTAATTGTTATTTAAGTGAAATTACTGAACTTAAATATACAGGTTTCATAAAAATCATCATTAAAGAAGAAAATTTCAAATGGCATTTAGAGGCTTTTGCATCTGAACTCTTCATATATATATTTGTTATAATTTTGAAGAGAAAGAAATCTACAAAATTCTGGAAAGATGATTTAAATATGACAAAATGTGTTAAATTGAGCTTAAAAAAAATACTTTTTACGCATATTGACAGCTAAAAATGTTATATTGTAGTTTGATAAAATACATAAAATATTAGTATTAAAAACAGATAAATAATTGTTGATAAACATAACATGAATAACTTGTTTTATATAAAATTGATACACTGTAAAAAAAAATGAGATCAACTTAGATAATTTATGTAGTTCAGATAACATAATATTTTGAGTTTCTGATGATTAAATCAATCTCCTTCATTGTATTAACTCAATATTTCCATTTCAATTAACTTAAAATTTTAAGACAACCAGGTTACTTATTTTTTTAAGTTAAACCAACAATATTTTTTTACAGTGTATTATGACTATTATTTTAAATTATATTAAAATATTAATATGACAAAATCAAAGATCAATACATGATTTTATTATTTATTTTGATATACATTTAAGAACCTATTATTGAATATACAATTATTTACCAAAATAATTGCAGAGCTTCTGTACGGGCCAGAACATCACCTACAATCATGGCGCAACTGAAACTAGACAAACCAAAATAAAATTGCTTTGAAAACCTGACAGTACGAATGATAGCGTTACTTGAGCACGTGAAGTATGTGAAAGCACCTTTAGACGTGCCATATCCTTTTGTAAGCTTCCTACCAAAACACACACGCATTCACACAACATAAATTTACAGCCGTGCTTTTGGAGTTGTCAAGCTGGTCTGTGTTGATAAAAGTAGCCATAATGTTTACAGTGTCAGATTTACCACACAGAAATACACGGGTTGTGTGGTGTCCACCATTTCATGATAACCGCTCCTGTCAGTGTCCTCAAGGACTGGACGAGCCAATATACAACACATCGCTTATGATCACCAATATAACACACACGTCCTATAAAGTGGTCAACTCCGCTGGGCGGTGGAAGAGTAAATAACCGAAAGAAAAGAGTAACCTTGACCGCACCGTCTCGCGCACACACACACACACACACACACACATACTCGGACATGTCTCCTGTGTGAAGGGGAGCTTGATTGAGGGGCTCTATTATGGATGAGCTTAAAGGAAACCTCGGTGATGGATGACAACTCGCTCTAGTCACCTTCACATATCCCAGCATCCTCTCTGTCCAGCTGCCGCCCAATTCTGCTGACAGATGCAAAACACATCCGCCAGCCGGGATAAAGAGGGAGAGAGAGAGAGAGAGAAAGCAGAGGGAAAAGAAGGATAAACGGAGGACAGGAGGACATACAGCAGAGAGAATTAAAAATCTATTTTCTATTGCTGTTTGAAATCTAATTCGTTTGTTTATGAGACTGTCTGCAAGAGAAAAATGTCATTTGGTGAAATGGCGAGGTGTGAGTGCAAGCATTGATCCTGTCAAATGTTAAAAGTCACAGTGATTAATATTGAAGCCTGTAAAATAAACGTAAAGGAATACGAGCGAGTTTCATTCGTGTAGCAAAACTCAGAATGGCAACACGTACAAAGACACAGGCATCTAAGGTTGTACGTTTTGCGCCATTGCGTTAGGCAAAGCATCGGTCAATCTATCAAACTAAAATCAAATTTGCGATATGGCACACAATGGCTACAATCTAATTAAGTATATAGTTTGTTACGCTGTGCGTTTCAGACACTATGTTCATTTACAACGGAGCAGCTCATGATCCAGTGTTTTAGCATGTCAGATAATGCTGCGAACTACTGTACATCTCTGCATGTGCTTAAAGGTTAATCATATAAAGCGATCAGGTATCTTCAGAAAATTTGGACAAAACCACTCAATTCATATGGATACGTTTTACGATCTCTTTATGAAGCATCAAAGTGACAGAAAGCTCCCGGATTTCATCAAAAAAACTTCTTCATTTGAGTTCTGAAGATGAATGAAAGTCTTACAGGTTTGGAAGGACATGAGGGTGAGTAAATGATGACAGAAGTTTCATTTTTGGGTGAACCATCCCTTTAACGTCCATTTGGGAACGCAACAGGGAAATGTTTGTAAACCTGCTCTCAAATGAACACAAAACGTTTCTCTGCAGATATACGGCAAATTAAAAGCTTGGGGGATTAACTACTGTAAAGTAAAATATTTATTATTTTAGCTATTATGGAACATAATTTTTTATTTTACAGATCAGAGGTACTATAATATACAGTAAGTAAATCTTAGATATTATATTATAACATCATTTCTTTTTATTATATTCAATTGTTTGGCCTCCTAAAAGACTGAGAGTATCACAACTAAAAAAAGAGGCCAGTGAAATTATAGCAACATAATACTGTATAATAGAGATACTATTATAGTTTTTGTTCATATTTTCGAATTAGTTTTTATTTTTATAATTTCAGATTCATTTTAACTACATAGTTTTTATTAATTTATTCATTTAATATTAATTTATTTTTTATTTATTTTATTAATTTATTTCAGTTATTTAAGTACATAGTTTAAACTATTGAAAATGACAGATTATGCCTTGGCAACAAGCTGAACTATTTTTATTTATTTCATTTCAAGTAAAGAAAGTTTTTACCTTTTTAATTTTAGTTTTAGTGAACTAATAACCCTGTATTGAGTCTTTAAAGTCTAGTAGTCAATGTCAATGCAAAGACTTTTTTTACCCCGTTAAATATGGTCACTAAAAGGGGGTTGGAACTCTTAATTTTGCTTTCAAAGTGAACCAGATTGATACATTTAGCTTTAAATATCCAAATTAAAAAAAAAAAAACAATTTCATGGGACCATGTCCCTAGACCCCCTGAGCTCCACCCAACCAAAGTCTCACAAAAACTGAGGAAAATACTGAACGGACACAAAATCAAATCAAAACTGTCCTAGTGCGCACGAAAAACACTAAAATGTGTAAGCTCATGTGATTGACAGCACGAGTCTCCACGTGCGTTTCTACCTTGCTGCTGAGTCATAATGAGGACGGCACTGAGCGTGCTCCGAGAAGAACAGGGTCACCGCGGCAACGCCGGCCGGCTGATGGGCACCAAATGAACAAATTATGACGCGGCCCTCGGATTGTGATGGGGTCAAACGCCCCCCAGCCCGTGCTCGCCCTCGTTCGCCCCCCGCTCGCCCTACACTGACAGTTCAATTTCCCTCCAACGCCCCGCATTCGGCCCCCATTCGCCCCGCGCTAATTATGAATGAAAAGTTATCAGCCGGCTCCCCCGGCGTGAGCTTAAACAGTATTTCAGAGCAGAACCGCACGTCAAAATGTTATTAGAAACGGGAGGAGCCGAGGCAGATAGTTCGCACGCTGACCCCGGATCGGCTAAATACCGCCGCTAACCATCCCAGAATGCATCGGAGTGTCTCTCCATTTCACACACCGTTATTTCATCCGCACCCGTGCCTGCCAAAGTCACACACACCCACACGCGGCCGTGTCACATGAATATATTTTCATACATCTGCATGCACGCGGCTAAGAAAGACCAGCTGTGTGACGTGACACACCATAATAAATGACCGCGTTTGAATGCATGTATGTGCGAGCGAGAGAGATGAGGTTTATCCACCGTGACTAAGATTATAGCGGCCTGTAATGTATTTATGCATAGCATTGACTTTAAATAAGCCCTTTCTCTTTCTCTCAATCTCACCCTTTATTTCAGCTCTGATTAGCCTGCCCGCCGAGGCTCGTGGGTAGTATTCTAATGACCTGTGCCTAACCGCTTCTAGCTGCGCGGCAGCCCGGTCCTGACGAGCCTGTCAATCAAAGCACCCGCCCAACGCCGTGATACAGGTCGCCGGGGCAACCCCGCAGTGATGGACAGGAGGAGAATAGGAATTCTGACAGATGGAAGTTTAAAAGTTTTCTTTCAAGGATATCAAGGATCGTGCGTTATCAGCAATCATAGTTCAACCGCAGCGCTGTCAGTGTTCGTAGTTTAATAGCATGCTCGTATGCTGAAAGTAATGCTTTTTTTGGTGCATTTTTAAAATTCGTATATTAATAATATCAGACGAAAGGACAGGAAATTCGAGAACATGGGGGAATGGATCTGGAAATTGTATTATATGATAGAATACAATTTAAAGCCAGAAATTGGGATGTAAAATTATAAATTAGTTTGAATGAAATTAATAGAAAACTTGTTTTACACAATATATCATTATCATTTGTTGCTATCATTTTCTCCACAAGCTTTTTGTTCCGTGTGTTTAGATATTCATCAGTTATGTTTGGTTAACAGCATTAGTCTCAATTCTAATTCACAATATTAACAGTTTTTAAATCACTCCACTGCATCATTTCTTGCAATCTCTCTATTATTTCCAGCCAAAGTAAAAATATTATCAAATCAATTTTAAGCTCTTTAAGGGAATGTTTTACTGAAAATTACACTGTTTACGGAAATCTCCAATCCAATAACTGTTGTTCTTTTAACTTACTAGTCTACAAGAAACACTAATAAATGCATCACTGTTTTCAACATTGATAATAACGAAGATTTTCTTGAGCACCAGATCATATTAGAATGATTTCTGAAGGATCATGTGACAGACTGGAGTAATGATGCTGACAATTCAGCTTTGCGTCACAGGAATAAATGACATTTTAAAATATATTAAAATAATAAACAGTTCTTTTAAACACTAATAATATTTTATTAAGTAGTTTGTATAAGTATTTTGATCAAATAAATGTACCAACCTCAAACTTTTGAATGGTATTGTAGCAAGCCATAATGTGTCACACTGAAATGCCAGTTCCTCATTAGCTTATTATCTTTTTTTTTAAAGTGCCAAAGCCAATTCTCCTTTCAACGCAAAATCTCAGTATGTACGCATAGAATTAAGTGTAAAACAACACAAAGTATTACAAACAATAAGATCAAGGTCTAGATCCCACTAAGAATCTTTTGGTGGAAATATGACAGCAGTGCTGGTCTATAAACACGCGTATAAAGTGTGTGTGTGTTATTGTCAGGAGGTGTCTGTGGGCCGTAGGGATATTACAGTTCATGTGTCAATCCTAAAAGAGAAAGACACAGATAGTATTTGAGAAGAAATGACCACACATGCTTCATTCATCTCTCAGTGACATCTCTCCCTCCCTCTCGCTCTCTCGACATCCCTCTCTCCCTGACACAGGACTCTCACGGGAGAGGAAGGAGCCTTCATACAGCAAAAGGTCAACAATCACATACACTGACAACACACACACACACTGGTGGAGAAGAAAGAGGGAAGGCAATGAAAAACCAATCTATAATACAACAGGACAAAGAACATCCAAGATGGACTCAAATAAAAGACTAGAGAGGAAATGACAAAAAGGAAGTAATATATACAGTCAGTTGGTCATTAATGCAAAATAAACCAAAACAGAATGAATATACCCGACGTCAAAGAACTAGCGTTGACGAAAGCATCGGCCAAAAAGCGTCGCTTGAATACACCAAAAGGACTAAAGGCGGTTGTCAGTTATCACATGCGTTCTGCTCCTGCGTGCAAGTAAACATCTGTCTATATCAGCATGTAGTCTATTTTTCATCATTCAAAAAAGAAACAGAAACTAGGACTGCAGAAACCGTAAACAAAGCAGCGCTTGCTTAGCTTGTTGAGCCAACTGGAATGAAGGAAGTTGATGTTCATGTTATTCTGAAAAATATTTGT